CCAAGAGTCTCTGAGGAAGTCCAGTCCACTGTCAAATAGCTGTTACCATCACGAGCTTCTTCCTAATGTTTAGGTGGAATCTCTTTTCTTGTAAGTGGAATCAATTGCTTCTCCTTCTAGTCTCCGGAACAGCAGGATACAAGCTGGCTCCATCTTCTGTACTACATCACTTCAGATATTTAAAGTGGGCTATTATGTTGCCTCTGAACCTTCTTCTCTCCAAGTATAGAACTGCACTAGCATTTTTGGCCATTGCATCACAATGTTAATTCCTGCTTGGCTTGTGGTCCACTAAGACCATTTCACGATTTTCATGTGTACTGCTGTTAAGCCAGGAGTCAACCATCTTATTATTTGTAGGTGTAGTGGGCAATCAGCATTGTGTAGGGTGCTGAGTGCTGGACCAGGACTTTGAGAGTTGTTGTTGCTAACTGCCATCAAGTCAATTTTAACTTATGGCAATGTGGTGCTGGAGAAGAGTGCTGAGGATACCGTGGACTGCCAAAAAGAAAAACAAATGGGTCATAGAACAGATAAAGCCTGAACTCTCACTGGAAGCCAGGATGACTAAATTGAGGTTGTTGTACTTTGGACACACCATGAGAAGGAAAGACTCATTAGAAAAGGCAGTGATGCTGAGAAAAGTGGAAGGCAGCAGAAAGAAAGGAGGACCACATGCCAGATGGCTAGACTCAATTAGGGAGGCCACAGGTCTGAATTTGCAGGGCCTAAGCAAAGCAGTGGAACACAGGGAGTCTTGGAGATGTCTCATCGACAGGGTCACCATGAGTAAGAGACAACTCAAGGACAACTAACAACAACAACAAGAATGAGAGACCTCCAAGTCACCCTATCACCAATAGTCCTGCTCAGGTCTTGTAGACTCTGGGCCATGGCTTCCTTGATTGGCTCTACCCACTTCCAATGTAGGCTTCCTCTTTTCCTACTCCATTTTATTTTGCTAAGCATCATTGTCTTTTCTATTGAGAAACTCTGACATCAATACCCAGAAAGATTCTGGAGCAGATCATTAAACAG